TCTGCTGCTGCTGCTGCTCCTGCTGCTGCTGCTGCTGCTGCTGTCAGCTGCGTCTTCCACCCGGAGACATATTTGAATAAAATTTTAATTGCAAGACAGCAGCACTTGGAGTTGTGGAACTTCGCGACTGCGCAGCGAATCCACAGCTACACCTGCTGCAGCAGCAGCAGCAGCAGCAGCAGCAGCAGCAGCGTGACTGCGATTGCGCAAAGTCCCTGCTGCGATGTTGTGGCTGTGGGGTTCAGCAGCGGGAGAATCTGCATAATAGATTTGAAGAAAGATGATTTGCTGCTGCAGTTTCAGCAAGCAGCAGCACAAGGTGCAGTGTGTGCGCTGGCCTTCCGCAGCGACGCTGCAGCAGCAGCAGCAGCAGCAGCAGCAGCAGCAGCAGCAGCAACGCTCCTCAGCGGCGCCAGCAACGGAGACATCTGCGTCTGGGGACTGCAGCAAGGCACTCTTTTAGGGACTCTTCAAGAAGCGCACAAACAAGGAGTGACGCGCATTTTCTGCATGCCGCGCCAGCCCCTCATGATCACTTCAGGCAAGGTTTAGGGTTTAGGGTTTAGGGTTTAGGGTTTAGGGTTTAGGGTTTAGGGTTTAGGGTTGGGGAAGGGGAGGGGGAGGGGGGCTGCGCAGGGCGGCGCCGCAGGGGACTGCGCGGCGGCTGCTGGCGGGGCGCGAGGGTTTAGGGTTTAGAGTTTAGGGTTTAGGGTTTAGGGTTTAGGGTTTAGGGTTTAGGGTTTAGGGTTTAGGGTTTGGAAGGTGGTGGGGGGAGGCGGTCTTGCTGCTGCGCGTTGAAGAGCCACTCCGTTCACGCATTTTTTGAGCGGCCTGGCTTTAGGCCTCACTATTTACTAGGGTTTAGGGTTTAGGGTTTAGTTTTCAGGGTTTAGGGTTTAGGGTTTAGGGTTTAGGGTTTGTGTGCAGGCCCCGAGGGCACGGAGCTGCTGGTGGCGAGCTCGATGGGGGGTCGAGGGTTTTTGGGTTTTATCTCTTTAATTCAGCAGCAGCAAAACTGCGTCTTTTCTCAAAAGAATCTTAAAAGCAACATCCCGGTAGGGTTTAGGGTTTAGGGTTTAGGGTTTAGGGTTTAGGGTTTAGGGTTTGGGGTTTGGGGAAAGGATTTGTGCGGGTTTGTAATTAGGGTTTAAGGTTTAGGGTTTTAGGGCTTGGAGAGAGGGTGTTTGCGTGGGTGTGTAATAAGGGTTTAGGTTTAGGGTTTAGGGTTCAGGGTTTGGGAGAGGGTTTGCGGGGGTTTGCAATTAGGGTTTAGGGTTTAGGGTTTCGAAACTAAAACCCATTGTCTCTTTGGCTTCTTCTTTCCACCGCCACTTCGACTGGCC